CCAATGTCATCAAAGACCTGGAGACTCATAGCCTCTGTAAGTTAGAAAAATGCCACACCAAAAACATTTTACCACATGTTTTTGCAGCTGCAGTCATAAAAGGCTACACATTGAGATTGTGTATTCAACAGATACACATGGAATGACGTGTAATATCTATGGGACATCTACTTCCACCACGGCTGTGAGTGCTCCAAGTACCAGAGAAAACTATACCTGTGGCTGGAACCAGTTAGCCCTTCCCCTACCCCCCACCATGATAGGCCAATATGGAGTCAGTTTTCTTTGCTTAGACACAGAAGCCTTGTGAAATGACAATGTGCCAAAAGTACTATGATAGACATGTAAAACATGTATCACAATTCCACATCCTCATCTTGGCCACATCAGTTGAAAACAGACAACTCCCCAAAGGTTAACTCAACTCCCCTAATATTAAACATGAAACCCACAAGGGAAACATAAAAATCCAAATCGAAGTAACATAAATCTGTCATAAATCGTAAACAAAAACTATTTGTGGGACAAAAACTATTTGTGGGACAGCATGGATAACCAATGACCTGCCGTGTGAACTGTAGAATAAAGCAGACAAAAGTTGGAAGGCTGGATAACCCTCCCCTCCTCCCCCTGCTTCAGCTTCATGTCCTGGGGTGTCCGATGTCCAATCGGTCTCTCAGTAATTGTATTATTAGTGTGCTGTCTTCATATGATTTTTCCGTTACCATACTGAGTTCAGCAGTGGCTTTAGCCAAAGCTGTCTTTGCGAGGGAGCAGGCTTTCTCTGGAGAGTTCAGGCTCTCCTAAAAGAACACAGAGAATTCAAGGCCAGACCCAGTCTTCTCAGAGCATCTCCTTTTCGCTGATTTCAAATGTTTCTTGATATGCATGTTGTAAGTGATCGACTATTCGATCGATAATTCCTTTCTTGTCAGCATCAACAGCCACTTCCGCCAAAGAACAGTCTCCTTTATGCTTTGTGAACTGTTAGGAATCGAGAACTCTTCCAACAGAGACAGTACATCATTGCACTGTATCTCTTAGCTCAATCTCAGTTTTCTCTCTGTATTCTCGGGCCATCTGCTGTTTTTTTTTTTCCCTCAGCACCTTCTGTCTTTTGTTCCATTCTTGAAATGACCCTCCAAGATGACCTTTGGGCCTCTACAACATTTTTGTAAGCCACAGAGAGAAGATTCCTCTCCTCACTGAATAATTCAGCTCCTTGCTCAGTTAACAGACTTCACACATGTCTCTCAGCCTGCTCAGCCAGTTCTATACCAGCTCATTTTTATCCATCACTGAATATTCTGTGCCTGGAATGAATGGCAGTGGCAGCAGTGGGCAGACAGATGGGGTTCGAGTGGTCTCTGGGCAGCAGCACCAGCAATAGCGGGGCTGAGACTCTGGCTTTACCTCTCAGCTCCTGTAGAGACCATCTGAAAACTTGTCAATTCATGGTCAGTAAACACTTAAGTATCAACTAACATACCAGACACTGTAGTGCTAAGCGCTAGGGATACAAAGAAGCAATAAAGGTAAAAGACAGTCCTTGATTTCGAGAAGCTCATAGTCAAATGGTTGCTGGTTGATGGAATCATTGTCAAGTGTGGCAACCTATATGCATCACTGGTAGCAGTGGTCCAGGTTGTACACAAGAAGACTGAATGTTCATACGCTAGAGGACTTTGAATAAGAACTCTACATTGGACCACGGCAACATGTGAGGAGCTAAGGTGCCTGGAGGATCTGCTAGACAGCCAATAGTTCTCAGTGCTGGATTAATGGAGATTGGATCCTGCCAGGTATCTGGATACCGTCTGGTTCCATGGCAGAAGAAGACAAAGAAAAAGTGGCCTACATTTGCCCAGCTGGATTTTCCCAGTTTGAGTCTCTGCTCCAAGGTGTTTTAAGGGCACGTGCCACTTTTCAGAGGCTTCTGGAGGAAGTCGTTGGAGGCATGAACTCTGTAAACATGATGACATGGGTCTGGATGACTTCATTGTCTTTGAGAATGTCCTGCAAAAGCATGAGAAAAGATGGGTGAAAATGTTGGGTCAACTATAGGAAGTAGGTCTGAAACTGTGACAAATGTCGTCACACAGAACTTCTACATTGTATGTGAATCATCCAGCATCCCAGCAAGGAGAGATTACCCAGAGAAACAAAAATTACCTTCAAGTGGCCACCTCCAAAGGATCTTTAAGACCTAAGGACTTCTCTAGGATTTGATGGCTATTATCACAAATGTGTAAATTGTTCTGTTGTTATTGCTAAACTACTGAGGTGGCACTTGAATAGAGCTCCAGGCCTGGAGGGAGGAAGATTCATCTTCCTGAGTTCAAACCTGGCCTCAGACACTTCCTAGCTGTGTGACCGTGGGCAAGTCACTTCACCCTTTTGCCTCAGTTTCCTCATCTGTAAAATGAGCTGGAGAGGGAAATGGCCAACCACTCCAGTGTTTCTGCCAAGAAGATCCCAAATGGGGTCACAGAGAATCGAACACAACTGAAATGACTGAACAACAATGATAATCACTTATGAGCATGTATGATTGAGAATGAGAGGTAGATGGATAGGAAACATCATTTTGGTTGAGCCATCTGAAACCAGTGGGAGATGGTTAGATTGATAGGTGTGAACAAGCTTGTGATAACTTAGCCTGCTGCCCCCGGAGACGCCATCATTGGTCTGAGCAGACCTAAGTGTGCCTTTCGAGCTGCTTACAGGTAGATGCTAACCTGAAAGGCTTGGGAGCAGTCTTGGGCCAACACAGGGGCTATCACCCATCACATTTGCCAACAGAGTGAAACTCTGGGTGATGAAACTTCTCCTTCTATAATCTGGAGTTCTTGGCTTTAGAGTGGGCTATCACTGAGAAATCCAAAGACTATGAGTAGGGTGCTGAATCCCACATGTGGATGGCCACCAGTCTGCTGGCCTCTATTTTAACTAGCACCAGATTAGATGGTGGCTACTAGGTGTGGGCGGTGGTCTGTGACTTCAGACCAAGCTCCCCTTGGTCAGAGAAGGCTAATGTTCTGCTCCATGGTCCATATGACACAGAAGTTCTGGTGATGCTTGTTGGAAGGATGAAGGCAATTTTTGATACCCGGGGAACTTGTCTGCAGCCAAATGTGAGTGAACCAGAGTCTGAATTCCCACCAGAGTCCATCTCTGGTGTTTTTGAGTCTTGTGGGGCCTGGGTCTGGCACTACCATTGCAGGAGGTAAACAGCCAGGCCAGAGGCCTGTGGTTTCATCCCATTCAGTAATGAGATCAGTGAGGCCTGGACTCACAGGACACCAGGTTCCTGCAGCCCCCAAGGAACTGCCCTGTCCCTGACCTCTTGGGTTCCTGGTGCTGAGCTTCCTGCCCCCTCCCCTTCCAAGGCATTTCATCTCTATTTTCAGTGCCCATCCTCTTTCTTTCCAGTTTCATCAGTCCTAACTCCCCTGCCTTTCTTGGGGCAACCCCTCAATTTATATAAATCCCATCAGTTCCCCCAATCTGTCCATTTGCCTCCCTACCCCCTTCACCTAACAGATTTCATCCTCCAAGTACAGAATTATAAAATGTTAGGACATCGAGACCATCTCTCCCTCCCTCCCTCCCTCTCCTCTCTCTCTCTCTCTCTCCTCTCTCTCTCTCTCTGTCTGCACACACACACACACCACACACACACACACACTGTATAGTTGGGAATACTGAGGCCCCCAATCTGGAAGACATTTAACCCAAGGCTACCTACCTAGCCTCACCTCTGAACTAGAATTTGAACCTAGGCCTCCCTAAGTCCCATCCAGTACTCCTCCCTCCCTCCCCATTCCCCCAGTCCTCAACCTACAGCCCCTTTTCTCCAAGCATCCATTCCTCACACAGATCAGTTTGTGTTCTCTTTCCCTTCTTTGGGTCTTAACCTTGAGCTGATGAGACTCAAGTTTCTAAGAACCTAGGGTTAATTGACTCCAAGGTTCTAGGCTTCTGAAATTCCCTCGTTCTAGCCACCTCCCACCTCCTCCTTTTCCTTCTTCCACCAAAGAAACCCACTCCCCCACCCCTCCGCCTGCAGCCCAACCCCCACAGAAGCCTGCGTGAGTACCGTTTCCCCCGGGACTCCAGCAGACATGATGCAACCCGGCTCGGAGCCGGCGGAGAGAGGGGATGCAGAGATATAATTACAGCTCCGCTGTCCTCTCGGCAGGAAGGAGTGGACCCCGGGGACCCTAATCTAATTGTTAATAACTGAGCAACGACCTCTCCCCTCCTCCCCCTTCTCTGGTTCCGTCTGCTTCCCCTGACCCCCATCTGCACTGCTGGGATGGAGGAGTGTGGGCTTCCTTCCGTCCCACCCCTCCTGCTGTCGCAGCCTGAGTCTCCGTCCCCTTCCTCCCCCTCAGCGCGCCCATCAATGTGCCCGCGGGCACAGAGACGCCTCGCCTCTTAGAGACAACGATGGGGAGGTGGGTGGGGGGGTCTCAGTCCTGGAAGCTGCCCCCACTTGCGAGCGCACAGACTGCAAAAAGCAATACATGGGAGGGCCCAGCTGAGGAGCAAATACAGGGGGAGCAAACAGGAAGCAATACGGGGCTCATTTAGAGCTCCCTAGGGGGCAAGTGTGAGTACGTCGCCCACCCAGGTGCGGTGGCTAATAGGCAGGGTTCGGTTTGGGTCAGAACGGGAGACGGGCTAGGGGATACAGCCAAATATGGAGAATAGAGGGGACCAGGCGCGAAGAAAACGGGGGTTGGCCTCAGGGAGTGGTCCAGGAGGAGTGGGGAGGCTATCAGAACTGCCCACGGGCGGCCAGATGCGGCGGATGCTGGAGAAGAGGACCGGGGGCGGGGGCAGGACGAGCGCTCCCTCTCTCAGCATCTCCACCCTATCACTCCCACTGCCCCGGGGGAGGACGCGGGATTCCACTAAATCTAGATCTCTTGCTCCAACCACCCCCAAGCCCCGTGCCTCAGTTGCCCCCAAAAGACCAGGAGATGCAGAAGTCATTCTTTTTATTTCTGTATTTTTTTTAGGGGGCTAGGGTACTCAGAGCAGGACGCAGAAAAGTCGTTTCTCGCGGAAGGGATTCTCTGCCGCGGGCACCGGGGTCACCAGTGGGTCCTCCTTCACATGAGCCTCGCAGAAGGCCAACAGCTCGGCCGCAGCTTTGGACACCTGAAGCGGGAGGTAAAGGGTTAAGCGCATCGCTAGCCGCTAGCCACCACCCACCCAAGCCCACAGAGGCCCCTTTAGGCGACACCCTCTGGTCGAGTCTGGAACTACACCGAGTATCTCGCCGTGATCGCCGGTGCTCAGCAGCACCACATGGCCACGGCTGGAATGGCAGCCTTCCTCCCAGACCTAATGATAGCCGCGCCCCGCGTGGCCGAGCTCGGGAATGCACCCTTACCCTGCCGCTCTTCAGGAGCACCCATGGGCGGGGCCGCTGGTCTAGGCTCCCCGCCCAGTCCTGATACCCATAGCGCCACTACTTGGCCACGCCCGGAACCTCAGCCTCCCTCCCTCCCAGCAGCGACACCCGCTGGCCGACTCCAAAACTGCAGCAGAGATGGAAGGACGTGAGTCTCTTCTCAATGCCAACGGTAACAATAGCGACAGCCTGGACCTACAGCTGTTTTGTCACATGATCATAAGATTTAGGGCTGGAGGAGATCTGGGAGGTGATCTTAAGCTATGTGGAATCAAAGATCTGAAGCTGAATGGGGACCTCAAATCAAGCCCCTTCATTTTAGAGATCAGAAAGTCCAGACTTTCAACCCAAGATAACACAGGGAGTAAAAGGAGAAGGATGGATTCAAACCCAGGCCCTCCAATGCCAAATCCAGCGTCCCTCCCAGTCCTACCCTGCACAGCACCATGCTAACTACACCCACCTGCCCATTTTACAAATGGGAAGACCTAGGCTCAGAGAGGGGAAGGGTCTTAACCCAATGTCACATGACAAGAACTAGATCCTCAATCTAACATCCTTACCACTAGCAAAAGCTCATATTTATAGCAAAGAATGTCCCGATCGGAAGGGATCTCAGCGATCAGCTGAGGTCCCCCAATAAAACCCACCCAGCCCTTGCTTGGCTGTTGGAAGACATCTATAGAAGAAGAACCCACTACCTCCCATGGAAGCCTTTTGGACAGGATGAATTATTAGGAAGTTTTTCCTGACATGAAATTTAGATTTTCATGTTTGGCTCGCCCTTTCAGGACAAACAAAATAGGCCTAATCTCTCTTCCACTTTTAAGTACTCAAAGACAACTATCATGCCATTCATCCCTAGCCTACTCTTCTCCAATATAGCTCATCACCTGTTCTCCAACTTATAGTCTTGGAGAGTTACCTGGGGATACTGAGAGGTCATGTGCCTGGCCCTGGGTCGCATAGCCAGGATATACCAGAGGCAGGATGGGAACCCTAGTTGGAATCAGGAAGACCTGAGTTCAAATCTTTCATTGAACCCTTACTAGCTATGTGACTCTGGGCAAATCACTCCCCTGCTCTCTGACTCAGCTTCCTCATTTGAAAAATGAAGGGGTTGGATCCAATGACTGCTAAGATCCTCCTCCTCCTCCTTCTCCTCCTTCATCTTCCATATCACACTACTGGTTCATACTGAATTTACAATCCACTTATGACCCTAGATTTTTTTCAGACAAATGCTAGTTAACCATCTTATATCAGTGAAACTGATTTCTTGAACCTAAGTATAAAACTTTACTTTTATCCTTATTGAATTAGACCTAGGTCCTGATTAGTGTGGATAATGAATCCCCCAAAGTCGTCTTTTTTTTTTTGCGTAATTAGAGTTAAGTGACTTGCCCAGGGTCACACAGCTAATCAAAGTGGTCTTTTATTTGAATTTCCATTGGGCTGAAATCAGTTACAATATTTTATATTTATTTTTACATCTTTATATACTTTATTTTTACATTTATATCTTCAGATAATGTGAATTTAAACACGTTCAATCCCTTCAGGAGATTTGTCATTTTTACTCATTGGGACCTGGTTGCCTATCTTATTCTATGCAACCCAGTGCTCCACTCTGTCAAGACCTTTGGGAATCCTGACCCTTTTCATCCAGGCTCAGCTTTCCCTCCCAGCTTTGTATTGTATCCAGATTTTATAAAGATGCCACCTATGCCTTTATCCAAGTCATTAATAAAAAAAAGATTCAACATTACAAGGCCAATTACAGATCCCTAAGGCACTCCACTAGAGACCTCTTTCAAAGTTGTCCAGGCCATTAGAATCCATCCAGTTATACTTTCATCTAGCTCACCTCATGCCATCTTTTTCACAAGAATTGGATGAGATACACCATAAGATGCTTTTAGACTTATAAAGTACTTTTCTCTGCAACCCTGCAAGGCAGATAGCCCAAGCATTGTTATTATCCCCATTTTCCATATTTGGAAACTGAGACTCTGAGAGGTCTTCCTTACCAATAGTTACCAATGACCACAGAAGAGTAAGTGTCTAAGGCAAGTTGCCAACCCATTCTCCTGTCTTCAAGTCCAGCACTGTATTTACTACACCAAACACCAGGTGTTTTTCCTTCTCTTCTTTTCTCTGGTCCCACTGGATAATGCAAGTCCCAGGTCTGAGGAGTGAATCCCTTTGTCCTCTATTTCCCTAGCCTCCATTCTCACCTCCCAGTTCCCAAGCTGTGCATACCTTCATGCGTTCGATGTTGACTTCCAGCTTTAGCTGCTCCACTGTCTTTCGGGCCTCAGCAATCTTGGCCATGTTGTTGGACATTGTTGTGAGAAAGGGGTTGATGCTCTTACAGATGCCCTGGGAACAAAAGGACAAAGGATAGGGAACAGAGGGCTGGGAGGAATTAGAAGAAGGGGGTCAGGGAAATGGAGGGAAATTGAAATGAAGGATGGAGGAATGGAGAATAGAGACATAAGGAATAGGAGTGGAGAGAAACAGGAAGGAGAAACAGAGAAAAGAAACAAAAATGAAAGAAAATCATCATAAGGGGACATAGGAATAAGGCACAGGAGTAAAGGGTCAGGAATTAGGAATGGAAAATGGGGTGGGGGGTAGGGATTAAAAAAACAGACATGGAGGGACAGATGGATGAAGCACAGGGATAAAGGGTCAGGAACGGGTAAATGAAGATGAGGGATAGTTGAGGGAAGTGGGAGTGCCAGGAGTAGATTGAGGAGTAGGGGGTTCACATAGATGGATTGCAGAACAGACAGGGCTGAGAAAGAACAAGATGTAGAGGTGGATAACAGAGGGATGGAGAGAAATAGGAAGGATGAGAGAAAACAAGCAAAGGTGAGCAGAGGGATGGAAGGATGGAGGGTTGGAAGAGAAGGATGAAGGACCAAGGGATGTTTCAGGAATAAAAAACAAGGGACAGGAATTGGAGAAAACAGGAATGGGAAGAGGGGCAGAGGGATAGAGTTGGAAGACAATGATGAGGGACAGAGGGCAGAATAGGGGTGGGTGGGGTGGAGGGAAACAGGAATGGAGAACCAAGGATGAAGGACAGCGATGCAAGAAAACAAGCACTGGAGAGGATGGAGAGACATAGAGTGGAAGGGCAAGAGTGGGAGGAATCAGGGATGGGGACAGAGGGATGGAGGGACAGGGGGTTGGATAATAAGGATAAAGAACAAAAGGATAAAGGAAAATGGGAACTCGGTGAGAGGACAGAGGGAAGGAAATAGGAAAAACCAGAGAGATGTATAAAGAGAGATGAAGGGACAGAAGAGTGAAAGAGATGAAGGACAGTGATGGAAGAAAAGAGGAAGATGAAGGAACAGAGGGGTGGGGGAAACAGGAATGGGAAACAGAGGCACAAAGGGACAGAAGGAGCAAGAGGATGAGGAGAAGCAGTTATGGGGATGCAGGGAAAGAATGGTATGGAGAAATAAGCAGTGATGAAGAACAGAGGAATGGGGAAACAGGAATGAAGAATAGGGTTCAGAGGGAGGAAAGGAGATGGGGATTGGGACATAGGATTGGGAACATGGAGGGGTGGACAGATGGGGGATGCTCTCTATACCAGTCACCCCCCCTCCCCCACCAATCCTGGTTGTCTATTTCTTATCATTCCCCTGGAGCTGAGGGAGGTGGGGGATGGACTATATTCATGTCTTGGTGAGTGTCAGGGCCAAGGTGGGGGGAAAGGTGGAAAGGCAGGAAGGGAGCACTCCCCATGCCAATTAGCACCAGCTCTAGAGCAAAAGGGAATTAAAGTCCTGGTGGGAGGAGAGAGGGGACCTGGGGAGGGGAGCTAATTAAGAGCTAAGCACCAGCTGCCCCTTCTTCTCCTCACCAGGAGGCCCCCACTCTTCCCCAACCCCCAGCTCCAAGTCACTGACTCATTAGCTAGCACTAAGGGGAAGAAGGGTCCAGACAGCCAGGCTTCCAGCCCCCAGCACAAACAAATCTTGAGCTTCCACTCCTAGGGGAGGACAGAGGGACAGAAGGACAGAAGGAGGGGGAGAAAAAGGAGGGGGACAGAAGGAGGGGACCAGAGAGATTGAGAACAATGATGGGGAACAATTGGATGGAGAAACAAGGGGATAGAAAGACAAGGAGACGAGGGTCGGAGAAGGAATGAAGGGATAGGATAGAAGGATCGAGGAATAGAGGGATGGAGGGACAGATGGTTGGTTGGGGACCCAGAGATGCAGGGACAGAAGGAAGGCAAAGGAAGGGGATGAGGGCAGGAAGAGGTTCTTACCTGTTGCTCCTTCTCTGCCTCAATGGCAGAGGCTAAGGCTGGAGGGAGCAGCTGCCAGAGCACCCTGGGGGGCAGCCCCGCCCCTGGCCCCCTCCCTTCAGATCCCCCACACCCTCCCCTGCTCCCTGTCCCTAGGGCCTCTTCGAGTCCTGCTCTCATACACGCACACTTGAGCGTGCACACACACACACACACACACACACACACACTCCCTGAGTTACAGTCACAGAGACACACCCCCTCAGTCACACACCCACATAGACACACACACACACACACTATCAGAGGAACAGCCAACATTTCCCATATAGTTACAGAGACTGCCACAAATACAACTGAACAGTCACAGGCTCACAATCAGCGAGCCCTACACACACAGGCGTACACACAGCAACATGCACACCCCATGCTAAATCAATGGTAAACATTGTGGAATACAGTTAAAGGCAGCCAGTCACACACCCAGTGTTCAGAACACATTCAAAATCTGTTGCTGTCTCTGTCTCTTTCTCTCTCTGTCTCTCTCTCTCCCTCTCTCCCTCCCTCCCTCCCCCTCTCTCCTCTCCTCTCTTCTCTCTCTCTCTCTCTCTCTCTCTCTCTCTCTCTCTCTGTCTCTCTCTCTCTGTCTCTCCCTCTCTCCCTCTCTCCCTCCTCCCTCCTCCATCTCTCCTCTCTCCTCTTTTCTCTTCTCTTTCTCTCTGTCTCTCTCTCTCCCTCTCTCCCTCCCTTCCTCCTCCCTCTCTCCTCTCTCCTCTTTTCTCTTCTCTTCTCTTCTCTTCTCTTCTCTTCTCTTCTCTTCTCTTCTCTTCTCTTCTCTTCTCTTCTTTTTTCTTTCTCTCTCTCTCTCTCTCTCTCTCTCTCTCTCTCTCTCTCTCTCTCTCTCTCTCTAAGCCAGAGATCAGGACCATGGCGTCATTAGGAGATAAAGAAACCCTGTCCCACTACCCATCCCAGAACAGACAGTTCTGAGCCTCTCTCTCCCGTGACATGACCCCAGATCCCCCAGAGCCCAGGCTGTAATGCTTAAAATAGCCACACGGTGGCGACACAGGAGCAAAAAGAAGTCCTCCCAAATCCCTAAAAGGCCAGTCTCAGGATCTCAAAGCCCCTTCCTTAGCCACCATCCAGGGTCACATGGAAACTCAATGCCCTAAAAGCTCTAGGGAGAGGTCTGATCCCTACACCATCGTGTGTGTGTGTGTGTGTGTGTGTGTGTGTGTGTTGTGTGTGTGTGTGTTTGGAGGGTGTTTGTGCTTGTCAGCACTGGTGGGTCAGTCCACACAATCCCAGAATATTAAAGCTGAAAGGTAGCTTAAACCATTGGGTTTCAGCCCCCTCATTTTACACCTATGAAAACTGAGGCCCAGAGAGGGAAACTAGCTTAATATCACAAGAATCAGGAGCACAGTTATAGAAATCCCAAGTACAAAGGGAGAACTGGCAGCCATCTTCCTCCCCCCCCCTCCAGTTCGTCACAGCTTTCTGTCTCCTGTCCATTCCCTATCTCCCTGTTTTTCAGAAAGAGAAGTCTCCATCCAGGGCCCCCTTGGGGAGCTCATCAGTTCCCAAGGATTCAAGTATCATTGAGATGTTGCTGACTGTACATGCCCAGCCCTGATCTCTCTCCTGAGCTGCATCACCAGCTGCCCGCTGACCACTCTCTAGCTCTCCTGGAGGCATCTCCAGCTCAACACGTCCAAAATGGAACTCATCTTCTCCCCTAAACTCACCCTTCCTTTCTCCAAACTTCCCTGTTTCTCCACCATTCTCCTAATCACCCAGGTGAGTAACCTTGGAGTCATCATGGCCTTTTCTCCCCCCTTACCTCCCACGTCCAGTCAGTTGACAAGCCCCATCCATGTCTCTTGTATATGTCCCCTTCTCTCACTACTGCCAGACCAGCTCAGGCCTCTCTAACTTTTCTTAGACTGTTAAGAACTTCCAGCCTTTCTCCTCTCCAACCCATTTGTAGACACAAAAATAGTCTCCCTAAATCACAGGTCACTTCCCCGCTCAAAAATCTGCAGTGGCTCCCTATTAATGCTACAATTAAATAAGAACTCCTGGGCTGTCCATTTAAGCCCTTTCCATTTTTCTTTTTGGAGGCAATCAGGGTTAAGTGACTTGCCAGGGTCATACAGCTAGTAAGTATCTGAGGCTGGATTTGAATTTAGGTCTTTCTGATTTCAGGGCCAGTGCTCTCTCCACTGTGCCATCTGGCGTCCTTTCTGATCTGGCTGGGGCTGACTTGGTCAATTATTTCACATTACCCCCATTCACGACTTACGTTCCAGCTGTTTCCCAAGGAATAGAAGCAATTGAGGCAGTTAGGTGGCCCAGTGGATAGAGAGTTTGCCCCGGAGTCACCAAGACTGAGGTCAAATGCTAGCTCACACACCTTCTACCTGTGTGACCCTGGCCAAGTCACTTCAACTCGGCCTTCCTCAATTGGTTCCTCGGTTGTGGAATGGGGATAATAATGGCCCTTCCCTCCCAGAGTTATGAGGATTAACTGAGAAAGACTTGGCCTTAAAATCGTGCCTCCAACACTTTGGAGCAGTGTAACCCTGGGCAAATCACTTAATCTCTGCCTCACTTTCATGATCTGTAAAAAGAGGTTAATAAATCCCACTCCTAGGACTAAGGGAGAGTTGGGACAATATTTGTAAAATGTTTACAAACCTTAATGTGTTATGTAGATGAGGAGGAGGAAGAGGAATAAGGAAAGGGAATAAGCATTTATTAAGCACCTACCATGTACCAGCCACTATTTTAAGCACTTTACAACGATTACCTCATTTGATCCTCACAACAACCCCAGTGAGTTAGGTGCTATTATCCCCACTTTGAGGAAACTGAGGCAGAGGTTAATGCCTAATCCGCATTCAGAGTCCCGCTTCCGTGGCCCATACAGGCCCTCTTCAAGCAGGGAATGCTCTCGCTCCTCATCTCCCGTTGCTTCCATCCTCGCTTTCCCCCTAAGCTCAGCACAGGGGCCACCTCCTATTTCATCTCAACCAGCTGCTGCTGTGTATATGTCTTATACCACCCAGCAGAATCCAAGCATTTTGAGGGTAGGGATTATTTAATCCTTGTCCGTGTATTCCCGGTGCCTAACACAGTGCCTGCAACGTAGGAGGGTGTCGAAGTTAGAATTTAAATGAATGGAAATTGATCTTCCTTTGAGAGCGAATTTCTCCCTCTGTGTGGGCAACCTGCCAGTGGCTTTTTCTCTCCCTTACTGTTGCTTTCTCTGTCTCCTTCCCTTCCTCCCACACTCCCTTTCTTCTGTCCTGAGGCCTGTACTTGGCTCTGCTCCTGTTTTGCTGTCTCTCTGTGCCTCTGTGTCTCAGTCTATCTCTGTCTCTATGACAAGCTGGAAATAATCCAGACAAGGTTGATCAGGACATCGGGGTGTTGCCACGACAGGATCTGAGGGTGTTTAGCCTGGAAAAGTGAAGACCCGGGGAGGACATCATAGCGAACTTGAGAATGAGAAGGTCTGGCTGTCAGGCGGAAGCAGCGGGATTTGCTTTATTCGGCTTGGCCCCACAGGGTAAAACCAGCTTCAGTGCATGGAAGCTACAGGCAGACAGATTGAGGCTTGATGTAAGGGGAAAGTTGCTCTATCTATTAGATGCCCAGCCCAGAAGATGAATACATTGCCTCAGGAGGTAGCGAGACCTCCTTCACTAGAGGTCCTCCTTCAAGAAAAGACTGAGTTAGCACTTGTCAATGTTGTGTGGATTCGTGCTGCATCGGATAGCCTCCGAGGCGCCCTGCAGCTCTCAAGATTAGACTGCTGTTGTGTTTCCAGGAAGTGTGGTTACTGCACTGGCTTTGGAGACAAAAGACCTGCATTCAAAGGGCATATCACTTTCGCCTCTCTGGGCCTCAGTTTCCTCACCTGAAAAGTGCGAAGGTCGGCCTAAGGCCCATTCCAGTTCTATCTGTACACGTCAGGGTGTCTCCCTCTTTGTCTCACTTCGCTCCCCCGAACGCCCCACCTCCAGTTAATTCCCCCAGTCTCCAGGGCAGGTGCAGAGCTGGGCCTCCAAATGATCTTGTGCCCCCCGGGAAGGGAACTGGCCCACATCCTCGAGGGCCTGGGGGAAGACCAGGGTTTGGAGCATACTTCAATCTAGGAGGGGCCCTGGGGCAGCGGCATCTGGGAGGAGATCCCAGAGGACCTAGAAGAACCTCGACCAATCAGGGGCATGCCCCGAGAGGTGGTGACAATAGAAGGTGGGACCATCTGGAGGAGGAGTCTAGAGAAAGGGGAGGTGCACTGGGGGCAGGGCCTAAAATTAGGGGTGGGAGGGATGCAGAGAGAAGGGGGCGAGAGTTCTCAGCTCACCCAAATTCAGTGTTTATTTATAGGGGCTGAGTCAGCCGGCGCCAGGCCGGCTATGAAGTGGGGAGGGCAGAGAAGAAGAGGGGGGGCCTTCCTTCTGCCTGCTCCGAATGCTGGGGGTTTCAGTCCGTGGCTTAGTTGGGTTTTTTTTGGGGGGGGGAGGGAAGCCTGGCGTCCCCCCAGCCCCAGCAGTTCCAAGACTGGGCTAGAGGAGTGGGGCAGAGAACAGAGAGAGTAGAAGATACCGGCGTTGGAGGGGGAAGGGGCTGCGGCTCCAACATCTGGAACACATCAGAAGCAACTGGAGCTGCCAAGAGGGACCAGGGCCCCCCAGTCACAGCCCGTTCTAAGGAAGCAGTCGGCGCCAGGACCCTGGGGGGCTGGGGCGGGGAGCGGAATTGAGAGAGGAAGGATAAGGTCTCCTTCCCCAGGCCTGGGGAGGAGGGGTCTGTCTGCCCGCAGCTCCCTCCCTCCCCTCTCCAGCCCCTGGCATACCTTTGGGGCTCTAACATTCTGAGGGGGGTGGGGGCGGGCTTCCCCTCCCCCTCTCCTGGAGTAGAAAGCAGCGTCTGTGCGCGGGAGCGGGGTGGGGGCCGATTCCCGGCTTCCAGGCCAGCCCCAACATCTGCTTCTCATAAGGCAGGGGCTGGGAGGCTGAGGCAAAGAGAGAGGACGGCCTAGCCCTGGTCCCCATCCCCCAGTGCCAGGCGGGGGGGCAGGGAGAGAAACCTAGAAACCCAAGCAAGATAAGATGGTCTGTAACGAGCTGAAATCCTCCCACATCTCCCACTGCCCCCGGCAAGTCTCAGCATGGTGTTCTGTATCCTCTGTCCTCACGGCCCCATCCTAGCTGTTCCCCCTCCCCATCTCTACCTCCCAGAAGCCCCTAGCTTCCTTCGAGGCTCAGCCCAAGAGGCATCTCTGAGAGGAAGCCTTATGCTTCTACGTACGCGGGTTCTTTCCCCCGATAGAGTGTGAGCTCCTTGAAGGCAACCGGTCAACAAGCTTTTATTATGTGCCTGCTATGGGCCAGGCTCTGTGCTAGGCGCTGGGGACACAAAGACAGAAATGAAAAGTCCCTGCCCTCAAGGAGCTTCCATTCTTTCAGGGGAGACAATGTGTACATAAATAAATATATACAAGATATTTACCAAATATTTACATGGCCGTGGGGTAGGGCCACTAGCAGCTGGGGGGGGCGGGGCAGGGAAAGGGGGAAATTAGGAAAGACCTCTTCAGTTGAGTCTTAAAGGAAACTAGCTAGGGCTTCTGGGAGATGGGAGTGAGAAAGGAGAGCATCGTAGGCACTGGGAAACGGCTTCTTGGTCGCCTAGCGCCTATCACAGTGCCTTGGAACATCGCAGGAGATCAAGAAATGTTCGTGGACTGACCGATTGGTGAGGGCAGCTACTGTGCCCATCTAAATTTAACGACTCTTTCCCTGCCCACGTAGGGCACATAGTGCCCTCATTAAGTGGCCGTAGGGTGAGGTGGATGGCAGGACCACAAGCCTTGGAGCTGAGAGGAATGCTAGGGACACCAGAGACGTAGAAGAATAATCAAATGTCAGGGTTGGGAAGCATCCTGAGAGACTCATCTCGTCCCCTTTTTTAGAGACGGAGAAAATGAGGCTTATTTCAAGCACCCCCCACAAAAGGCCTTTCCTGATTCCCCCAATTATTCACTCTCCCCACCCAAATTACTTTGTATTTTGTATGACACCAGTCAGAGTGAATAGACAGCTGGTCTCCCAGCCAGGAAGACCCGGGTTCAAGTCCTACCTTTGACACTTCCTTGGCTGTGTCACCCTGGACAAGTCATTTCAATTCTCCAAGCCCTAGGCAACTCTCTAAAGCTATAGTTTGCAGAGAAGGTGTAGACCTGCAATAATAGAGGGAATGTCCTCACCTGGGAGTTACCTAAAGCAATGCGATCTCAGTCCCTATCCTTACTTTGTATTTACTTGTCTGGGTACTCTGCCTGGGTATTTCTGCCCAGTACAACATTAGTTTCCTATCTCTGGGTCCCCAGCTGCTAGTCCAGTGCTGGGCACTTAGTAGGCACTTAATAAAAGATAGTTGACTCGAATTGAATGCATTCTCTCCTCACCTCTGCCTCCTGGAATCCCTAGCTTCTTTCAGGGTACAAGTCTGACCGGATGACTCCCCTGCTCAAGAACCATGGCTCCCTACTGGCCCACTGGTGCTTCTCTTACAGGAAGTCTGGAAGCCTTTCCTGGTGTTTTAGGTATTAGTGTGATTGATTCCTCTTCCTCAAACTGTCATGTTTATACCCATCTGTTTCCTCCAGTAGAATGGGATTGCCTTAAGGGCAGGAATTGTTCTCCTCTTTGTATCCTCAGGTCATGAGGCAGAAAGGCTAAGGGGTTAGCCAGAAAGGAAGGACCACCTAGGTTCAATGACCACCTCCAACAAGCCTACATGTGTGAGCCTGGGCGAGCCTGAACTTCTCAGCACCCCAGGACCTCGAAAGAATTCTCTAGAACTAGAGGTGGCCTAGGAGATGCTTGTCTGAAATGGCACAGGATGATTCCTACACCAATTCAACCACAATGCCACAGCCTACAGTTTTAAAGGGCTGCCTAAAGCACTGAGAAGTGAAGTGACTTGCCCAGGGTCACACAGCTTAGGTGAGTCAGAAATGAAATTCGAACCTAAGTCCTTTTGGCTCCGAGACTGGCTCTCTATCCACTGCGCTATAGAAAATGCATTTTTTTTTTTAAAAAATGCTTATTGAATTAGATTGGAAGAGAGTAAGCCAAGGCTGCCATCTCTGTAGGGCCAACATATCAGCACCGGGGCCAGAGGAAGCCACCACCGGGATAACACCGTGAATTTATTTACAAAGAGAATATAGAAACAAACAGAGTCTGGCTCCCGTGGGACAAGGGTGGGTACGGGACAGGATAGCCATCCTCCATTTTCCCACACTCCCTCGCCTGGGGAGTCGCCGTCATTATAATAAATACAGCAATTTAAAAAACAAAACTAATTAAGAATTGGTGCCCCTCTGGCCTCCTCCCTCAACTTCTATCCCTGGAAATATACTTGTTCCTTCCCACCCCCACCCCGTTTTCCTTCTCACCCAAGGTCACCAAGAAAGGGCTAGGAAGCACCAGGGAGCTCAGGCCCTCAACTATTTTTCAGCCCCCAAATTGGATCATAAACAGAGCGATCAGAAAAGATCACTGGGAGGCTTAGCACTACTGGACTCTACCCCGTCAGAGTTTAGGAGAGTTTCCCCTCATTATCTACTGGCCATCTCTGTCATCTCGGTGACAGATAGGGTAGGGTTTGGAGAGTGAATGGAAACGTGGCCCAGCTGAATGGACCGTAAACGGACCAATGAAGATGGGAACGGGAGAAGAATACCCAAGAAAGAAGGAACTGGGGGGGGGGGCAAACTTAGAGGATTTCCTAGACCAGAAAGGGATAGGAAAGTAGAGACCCCTTCAGTAAAGGGCAGGGGCTCCTTAGAGGCTCCTAGGTTCATAGAATGTCAGAGCTGGCAGGGACCTTAGAAATCGGACGTCCAACCGCCTCACTTTTCAGAGAGCGGAAGGGACTTGCAAAGGTCACTCAACTAGCGAGTGGCAGAGGCGGGATTTGAATCCAGATCTCATTCCAAATTTCTATACACCATGCTGCCTACTTCACTGAGTCCATTCTACAGCCAAGGAAACTGAGGCCCCGAGTTCGCCCAAGTCCACACCGAGAATCAGTGGGCGAACCCTGGCGTTCTTGGCTCCCAGTCTAGTCAGCCAGAGAAGGGCTGGGTAAATCGCCTCCGCGATGAGCCAGACGAGCTCACACTGTGGTCATGACCTTCAGCGATCCTGAGCGGAACCGTAAGATCTTCTTCTTGAGCGCATGGGAGGCCTTGATCTTGACGAAGACCTTTCCCTGGCCTCCCCCCGGGCCTCCGCCGGGCCCGGCCGCCGCCGACGCGGCCGCCAGCTGCTGGGGCCACACCAGGCCGCCGCCGCTGCCCTCCGAGTCGCTGGAGGCTGAGCTGAAGGCGAGGGATTCGCCGTCGCTGGCGCTCGACTCGCTCTCGCCGTAGGCGGGCCCGTAGCCGCCGCTGCTGCCCCCCAGAGGGGGACCCCGGCGTCCGACTGCCCCGCCGCGGCCCGCCGAACACTCCGAGTCGCTGCCGGCGCAGCCGTAGAGGAGGCGGCGCGGAGGGGCAGGCGAGGGCCCCGGAACCCCTCCCACGGCCCGGCCCCCGCCCCCGCGAGGAGCAGCCTTGACCCGCCGCCCGCCCTCGGCCTCCTCGCCGCTGATTTCGGCCGTGGAGCGCCAGCGGCGCGAGGAGGCGGGGGCCGCGCCCGCCGGGGTCCGACGGGGCCGGGCCGGCCTCGGCTCCTCCCTCTCCACGGTATGGTACTTGGGTTCGCCAGGGCCAGCGCCTGGCCTATTGAGAAGGCTGTTTTCTGACTGAGAGCGGGCTGCCTTCTTGCCCCGCGGGGAGCCCCGGCGGGCCGCCCCGTCGGGGAACCGGCCTTTCCTGGTGCCGCCCGGCCGGGGCCGCTCTCTCGGAGGCGACAGCTCCACGCTGCGGCCACGAGTGAGCGGGGGAGGCGGCGGGCCCTTGCGGCGGGCAGCGCGGGCCACTGGAGGCCCGCGGACTCCTCCGTGTGCCGCGGGGATGTACTGGGCCTTCACCAGCCGGCCCTCTCCCGGGCTGGGGGGTGAGGAGCTCACTGCGGGCGCAGGCTCGGCTGGGGGCGGGCTGGAGTCCCAGGACGGCCAGCCCCCAGGCCCCGGAGAGCCGCCCACGCTGGGGTGCGTCGACTCCTCGGACCGTTGCCGAGCGCTGTTCTGCCGTCGGAGGGCTGCGGGCGGCTCAGCTGGCCCGGGGCCCGGACTGGTGCGGGGCTGGCCGGGCCCTGGCCGCCCACGGAGTCGCCGCCGGCGCCTCAGAAGGCCCGAGATGTAGCTCTCCAGGTGGCGGCCCGGGGCAGCGCCGTCCGGGGGCCCAGCAATGGATGAGTCCGGATAGAGGCGGCCGCGCAGGCAGGGGCTCTGCAGGGCCACTGCATGGAGCGGACTGGGCGACAGGAAGGAGGTCACGCTCCCGGGCCCAGCTTCCTGGGGAGCAGTCGGGTAGGGAGCGGAGAAGGAGCGAGGCACCCCTATCTGGCCTCCCGCGGAGGCCTCCTGGGAGCTGGGGCCCGTTTCTCCTGCAGGGAGAGAGGAGACAAGAAGGGGTGGAGACACTGCCTCCTCCTCTCATCCAAGGACACTCCCCCCCCTCGTGTCTTATCTCTTGCCTCACCCTATTCCCTCCCCTTTTCCCCCCTCCCTTAGAGTGAACCCCTAAAGTCGGAATTGGAAGATGTCTAAAAGACTATCTATCTTAGCTCCATTATTTTACTGACAGGAAACCAGTCCTATGAAATTTAGCTTTGGAAGAGATCTCAGATAGTGTCTGGTCTCTTCATTTCGTAGATGAGGAAACTGAGGCACCAGCGGTCCAGAAGCTCGTCGGGTGCCAAACCAGAACTCCCAGAATGCCCAGGTGTCTAACCCCGTATTCAGAATACCTTCCTCTACACTGCAGCTACTCCAAAAAGGCTTGACTAGGAGACTTAGCCAGTCGGTGAAAGAAGCATGGTTCCCTTCCCAGTGGGGTGGCCGCTGAAGACAATTCTTCAAGTTCTCTTTGCTCTTTCTACTATTTACCGGTTAGGAGAGCAGAACTGAGAGGGCAGTTAGTGGCTCACTGGATAGAGCTCTGGCCTTGGAGTGCGAAGTTCAAATGGGCCCTCAGACACTCACTGGCAGTGTGACCCTTGACAAGTCATTTAACCCTGTTTGCCCCAATCCATCACAGAAGGAAATGGCAAACCACTCCAGTATCTTTTCCCAAAAAACCCCATGGTGGGGCACATCGGATAGACAGCTCCTAGCCTACCAACCAAGACATTTAGTCCTCCAGTGCTAAGGGCAGACCAGGTAACTCAGGGGCTCTGTAGCACGCCAGTGAAATCACAGGACCCATCCCTATTCCTGTGGTGGAATTAGCACCTCTGTAGCCGAGGACCTAGGTTCAAATCTCACCTCTGACAGTACCTGTGACCTAGGGTAAGTCAGTCAGTGTCTCTGGGCCTGTTTTCTCCTCTGTAAAAATGAGGGGCTTAGACCAGACGGCCTCTAGGTGGTAGAACGGACTGGGTGCTGTATTTGGAGCCTGGAAGACTTGGAGCATTTCAAATACTGTCTGTGGATCCCAGGCAAATCCTTCACATCCCCATGTGTGGAATGAGAATTCTAGTAGCGCCCACCTCACAGGCGTGACCAAATGAGGCAAGTAAAGTGCTTTGCCAGTCCCAAAGCTAAGTGGCTCCTGCCATGGTTTTTGCCAGAGATCTGGGCTCAAACCTGGCCTCAGACACTCGCCAGCTGTGCGCTGGGCAAGTCACTTCCCCCGTTTGCCTCAGTTTCCTCATCTGTAGGATGAGCTGCAGAAGGAAATGACGAACTGCTCCAGTGTCTCTGCCAAGAAGACCCCAAATGGAGCCACGAGAGTCAGACAGGACTGAACAACAAAGCGCTTTGCAAACCTCAAAGCATTACTTTGTTCTTGTCACCTCCAGCTCTAGGCAGATGGCCTCTTTCCACTAATTTTCCCCAATTCCTTTCTCTTGCCTAGTTATCCTGGCAGAACCTAAGCATTCTGAGGGCCTTAGCTCCAGAATCAGCCCTTCACTTCACAGATTGGGCAACTGGAACCCAGAGAGGAGGAAGGACTTACCCAGGGCCACCCAGCAAGCCAGGGGTCGGGGAGAAAAACCACAGCCACCTCCAGCTCCCTCCTTCCAGTCCTGCGGACATACCTGTCTGACTGCCTTTGTTCTCCTTCCCCCTTACCTGTCCTCACCTCTACACACACACACACACACACACACACACACACCCCTCACACATACACATCACACACACCTCACACATGCACACATTAGACACCACATATACACTTCCCATATACATATACATATACACACCACACACATACATATACATACCATACATGTAGATACCACATACCTCACACATACACACACACACCACATGCACACATATACATGCATATAGACACCACATACACTTTGCATACATGGACTGCCACACATATACATACACATATCATACATGTGGACACCACACATGCACACACAACATGCAATGTATATACCACACACATACACATACCACATATATATATACACCACACATACACACACCACACATGCCTCATACATACACACCACACACACCTCACACACATATATACATACACATACCATACATATAGACACCACATACCCCTCACACATACACACACCACACATACATATACATATAAACACCACACATATATACACCTGCACACACCACACACACACATGCACCCATGCCACACCCACATACATACACATACACACCACAGCACATATAGATACCCTCACATACACACACCACACACATACATACACCCACACCCACACCACAGTACAAATAGAGAGATACCCCCACATACACATATGCACACACTTCCTTCTGATGCTCTCAGCACAGTTCCATTGCAGCTGTGACATTCCATGAATCAGTGGCCCTTTCCCAGGCCCCTTCCTTCCACCTCCAACTTAGCCAAGTGTCCCTTTCCTGGCCTTCTTACCCAGAGACTTGGGCCTCTTGCTGGCAAACACTCCCCGGGGCTCAGAGGGGCCTAGGCGGCTGTAGGAACCAGAGCCAGAGAAACCACTGTCAGCTCCGAACGTTGAAGGAGGGGAGTCCGGACCAGTAGGGGAAGGGCCTTCATAGAAACCTGCATGAGGTACAGAAGGGAGAGACTGAAAGGACAGAAAGAGGGATGAGGGAGAGACAAAAAGAGGGAAGGTAGGTTGGGGCCTCTACTTTGAGAGTTGAGGGGATTAGGTTGAGGTTGCTGGGTTTCCTCTCACCTGAGCTCAGCCCAACATCTTCCTCCAGGCCTTCAGCATCCAGGCTCAGCTCTCCCAGATGTTGACCCAGTTCCCACATCAACCCAGGCAGGGCCTCCTGGAACAACAATGGGTGTGAGGGAAAGGGAAGAGGAAGGACCCAGGGAAAGACACTCCTGAAGACAAGTGCACTCTTTCCCTGAAACACAGGGCCTCCAGTCCCCTACAAAGAGCACCAGGAATGAGGGACCAGAGACTCCTTGGGGGAGCTGAGGTCACAACTGTCTACAACCTTCAGAAGGCAGAAGCTTCAGCCGAAGTAGCCTTGGAGTTTGGGGACCTTCTGCTCAAAGCAGGAGGCACCTTTGCATACACTGACCACACTGCTGCCCTGATCTAAAAGAGTCCGTGACTCCCTTGCCTTTAGAATAAAATACCAATGTCTCTTCTGCAGCTTGCTCTAGGCTACGTTTCCAGGCCGAATTAGTCCCATCATGATGCGCACTCCAGCCAAAGTGACCCACTAGCTGTCCCCCAATACAGGACATCCCACCTCTCATCTCATGCCTTTGCTCAGGGTTTCTTTCTATCAGGCTGGAATGCTCTTCCTACTCACCTCCCTCTGGGAATCCTAAGCTCCCTTCACGGCTCAGCTCATGTTCCCAGAGTTGCTAGCGGACCCTCCATACTAGGTATTCATTTTGCATTTACTTATCTGTTTACTCGTTTCTCCCCAAGTAGAACGTAAGCCTCTTGAGGGCAGAAGTTTATTTTTGTCTTTGTATTCTCAGCACCCTAGACAGTGCCGGGCACACAGTAAGTGCTTAATGAATGCTGATTAAATTGACTTGGATAGAGGTTGGCCTAGAGCCAGGAAGAATCTGAGTCCTGGGGCAGCTAGGTGGCGAAGTGGATAGAGCATTGGCCCTGGAGTCAGGAGGATCTGAGTTCAAATTCGGTCTGAGACCAGACACTTGACACTTGCTTGCTGTGTGACCTTGGCAAGTCACTTAACCCAATTGCCTAGGCCCCCCCAAAAAAAAAAATCTGAGTCCTTTCTCTGGCTTGTTTGACCTTGGATAAGTCTCTATTCTCCTCTGTGCTAGAATTGCCCAGATCGTGACACTGGAGGGCATGCCCTAAGGCTCCTCGTATCTTAATCCATTCCTGGAGGGGAGGGGGAAAGATTGAAAGAGAGTAAACTTTCTTTAATTTGCTTTGGGAAACCATTACCCTTTCAGCTCAATCAACAATCCCTTATCAAGAGGTTACAGAGGCTTGGGGAAGCTACTGGATTGGGGAGTAAGAGGGCTTGGGTTCAACTTCTGCTTACTAGCTATGTGAGCTCTGATGAATCCTTCAGCCCCTCAGAGCTTCAGTTCCTTAAATGAAAGGAATTGGACTAGATCAGGGGTGGGGAGCCTGCGGCCTGGAGTCCACATGTGGCCCTCTAGGTCCTTGGGTGTGATCTTTTGACTGAGTCCAGGTTTTACAGAACAAATCCTTTTATTAAGGGAATTTCTTCTGTGAAGTTTGGATTCATTCAGAGGGCCACACTTGAGGACCTAGAGGGCCACACGTGACCACAAGGCTGCAGGTTCCCCACCCCTGGACTAAACGGCATCCCAGCTCTACAGCTATGATCCTGTCACTTCACCTCCCCCAGTCTCAGTTTCCCCCTTTGTAAAAAAGGAGGGGGCTGGTCTCGATGGCTGTAGCAGTCCCTTCCTATTCTAAAGCTTTGGTCCCTATCCTCAGGGGACTTCCAGTCTAGGAAGGGGCTACGACAAATCTGCTACAGTGTTTGTGAATGCCTTTGCCCACCCCAAAGCAACTTGTCAACATCATCCATTGACAGCAGCAATACAAAATATGAGGTTGGTGAAGGAAGGGTGATCCAGGGAATCGGAAAGGCCTCACAGAGGAAGCAGAGCTTGAAGCTGGCTTTTCAGGGCCGATGGAACTTCAGCAGGTATCCTGATGTCCCCTCCTGAATGCAGAAGGGAGGCCAAGCTCAATCAGTCTTGATCGCCAGAAACTGCACTCAGACTTTTGGGACACCCTGCAGACTCCCTCTTAGGAGGGGGAAGGGCACAAGGGACAAAGCTTGGGTTCTATTGCAGGCCCACCTACACCTACCTCACCGAGGATGAGTGACTGAGGCTGAGGCACTGAACATGAACTGTTCGGCCTGGATCAAGAGAAAGGTGTCCGGCGTGGGGGAGGGGGGGCATGGGAGAGAGTGTCAGTTGCAGAAATGGCTTTTTGTCTGTAAAATCCTGAGGCCTTAACTGACCAGAAAGCCAGAGCCTCTTAGCTGGATTTCCAGGGACTTCTTAGCTGAGTATTGCAGTGGATTGACCACTGAGCATGGAGTCAGAGGAGCTGAGTTCAAATCCAAGCTCTGACACTTACTAGCTGTGTGACCCTGGGCAAGTCACTTCACCTCGGTCTGTCTCCATTTCCTCATCTGGAAAATGGGAATAATAATAGCATCTACCTCTCAGGGCTGTTGTGAGGATCGAATGAAATAACATTTGCAAGTGCTTGGCCGACTGCAGGTGCCCTACAGACGCTAGCTCTTTGTATGATCACCAGTGGCTGCCTCGAGGCAGAGGCACCTGGAGAGTGCAGGTGCTGTCCCTCCCCACCAGGGGTGCGGAACCTGCATTCTTGAGGCCACTTGTGGCCTTCTAGGGCCTCAAGTGGGGCCCTTTGACTGAATCCAAACAAATTGTTCTGTGAAGTTTGGATTCAAAGGGCTGCACTTGAGGACCTAGAGGGCCACCTGTGACCTCTAGGACACAGGTTCTCCACCCCTTTGGCCCAAGACCCAAGAGGGGGAGTTCCTGACCCTAGATTCCTGGACAGAGCAATGGGGATTTCCTTGAGTCCTTAAAGAATTCAGAGACCGAGCCTTCTAGAGAAAGATGGGAAAGTCCCACCTTCTCCCCACTACCTCTCTGTTCCTCAGTCTATCTCTTCTGTACTTCATCCAGGTTTCTATGAAGCCCTTCCCCTATTGGACCTGAGCACTACTAGGCCATGGGGGAGAAAAGGATGGTGTCCTCCCCCACACACAAACATACACACACACACACACACACACACACACACACACACACACACACCACACGGCTAGAGGAACAGAAAGCTGAAAGAGAGTAAAAACACAACATGGGGAGAGAATACCTGGACTTTTTCCTAAGCTGTTTCGGTAGGTTATTCAGGTAGCACAGGTTCAATGGAAAAGGGGCTGCCTCTTTAGCCACCTGAAATTTCTTTCCTTGCAGTGAGAGGTCCTAAAGCTGGATACCAGCATGGGTGAGAGCGGAGCTCAGTGGAATGTTAGAGGCTTGCCTGTCTAGTGAAACCAAGTTTGTATTTCTTCTTGGGCAAGTTCAACCCCTTAGGGTAACAAAATAAGGCAGGGGGCCTGAAGAGAATTAGACTCATGAGTTGTTGAGGGGATGGGGAGATGCCTTTTGAGAAGCCCAATTTTGTTTTCTTTGTGTTGGGAATCCAAACCAAGGTATTAGAGGGGTACCAGGAGTCTGGGGAACTGTCTAGAACCCTGGGAGGAGAGAGGGGACTCACCAGAGGAGAATGGGCCATTGTTTATGCACTGCTACAAACCTTTTCTATGTTTTCTGTAGGGAAAAATAAAGGCTGTTCTATATGTTGATATATGCATTGTTACCTTTACTGCTTTCATGGAAGTGGAGGACTTTTACCTACTACTGTGGAGACCCAGACAAAAGCTGTGTTGAGAATTATATTTTGAGATTCCTCAGAGGAAACTGGGTGGGATAAAGTGAGCCAATAAGTGATTTTCTTCCCTATAATTCTCCATGATTCTAAAGCCAGAGCTTAGGGGATGTAGGTCAACTTTTGCAGAACTTTGCATTCATTAAATCTTTCACTTAAAAACTTAGAATAGCGGATGTTTACATCCACAGAAACTTAAATCTAGGTCCTCATACTCAGAGCTGTAATTACCTTGGAATAAGATAAGGTTGAAGCTAAAAAGCAGACAAAATTGAGGAAAGAGATAGGATCCAGAGGTACAAAAACATTGATGACAGCTTTCTTGTGGCAGGGAAGAACTGGCAACCAGGTGGGGTGCCCATCAGTTGGGGAATGGCTGAGAAAATCATGCTATGTGAACGCAGTAGAATGCTACTGTACTACTTTTAGCACTCTGTCTCCCTAGTTAGATGGAGGTCCTGGAGGGCAGGACTGTCTTTTGCCTTTCTTTGCCAGAGTCTAGCAAATTGTAGATGTTTAATAAATGTTTCTTGACTGACTGACATAAGAAATAACAAAAGAGATGGATTCAGAGAAACCTGGGAAGACTTTCTGAACTGGTGCTGAGTGACATGATGAGAGCTGCAAGGATAACTTATACAGTAACCAAGTCTTTGAAAGACTCAGATCTCCGAGCAAGGCAATGACCAGCTATGATGCCAAAGGATTCCTGACAGAGGCGATGGATTCAAGATGTAGAACGGCATATTTTTTGGACATAATGTGGGAATTTTTTTTTCTTGATCTTATACTTGTTATAAGGGTTTGGGTTTTTTTTTCTTTTTCCTTTTAAATTGAGAATGGACAAGAGAAATAAAATACATGCTTGCTCATGGAAAAAATAAAATTTAAAAGCTAAAGTGCAACTCAAAGATCACTTTCTACAATGCCCTCCTTTTACAATTGGGGAAACTGAGGCCCAGAGTGGGAGACGGTCATGCCTTCACCTATGCACGGTCTATATCCAAAGTTCAGATTAGAAACCAGGTGCGAGCATTGCCAGTCCCTGGTCCCTCCACTATGATTCCTGACCCGAAGACAAAAGCTTCCTGTCTGGGTGTTAGGGCAGGAAGAAGGGGAGATTGGCCTCCCTGGTCCAGGAGCTGGGAAGAGAGGAGGGGCAAGGGGCAGGGCTTCACCAGAAGAATCAGTTCCTTCCCTATTTAGGGCAGAGAGAAGGGGGCCCTGGAGGAGACTCTCCCCACCTCTCCTCCCCAACCCTGCCTTCAGCTCCTTCAGGGCCAGATGCCAGAAAACACTGTGGAGAGATCCAGGATTTCATAACACTTAGAGCTCCCAGCTCATTTAGTCCAACCCTTCCTTTCACAGAGGGGGAAATTGAGACCCAAGGTTACACAGAGAGTAAGATTCCAACAGAGTAGAGATTCAAATATAGACTGATTTTCCCCACTGCACTCCATTCCTCTTCTAGAGCGGCTTCGGTGGCCCTTCATCCTCCTAGAGAGTCCATCTAAGACTAACTTTGGTCCTCCCCGCTGCGGGGCTAGGAGAGCCCAGTTCCTCCTGAGGGTACATTGTGTATTCGGGGCTCGGGCTGGAAGATGGGTTTCCCCCACTATCCCCTCCTCACCCTCCCCTCAGAGAATATATTTAGCCTTCCTCCTCCAGCCCAGGCTGTCTCTCCCTCTCCTCCTCCCCTCCCCCCGCCCCCCCTTCTGCTCTGCCTGGAGACAGCTCTGACTGGGGCGGCCTCTCCCACCTTCCCGGGCCCCCCCCAGACTTCCTGACCCCAAGCGGGTGAAAGAACCCTCTCCTCTGAGACTCCCCAGAGCGCCCAGCCCTCCTCGCGCCCACCCGCGGTGAGAAAGCCTTCTCCCCCTCCTCCTCCCTGCCGGATATTGGGAGGCACAAGGGAGAGCCAGAGAAACATGGGGATGGGGAGGGATGGAGGCATAACGAGAGGGAGCCACAGAGACAGATAGAGACGTGGGGATAGGGGGAATCATCTACCCCTTCGCCAGCTTCCTCGTCCACCAGGCTTCCCCAACCCCCCAGCGCAAGTTCACCGCTGGCCTGGGTACTAGCACCCCCACCGCATAAGGCCCTCTCCTCTCTACCCCCTCCCCTTTTCCACCCTCATCCCCATCCCAGTGGTTCTCTTCTCTCCTGGAGAAGGGCCGAGGCGGAGGCCAGGAGGGGCGGGGCCTCCCACAGCTGTTTCTGCTTGGAGAGAGGAATGTGGCCAGGCCCTCCCGGAGGAAAGGGGAGGGGGGAGTGTGAAGGAGGTCTGCAAAGCTCTAGGCCTGTTCTTCCCCATCCCCCTCCATGGGTTAAAGCCCACCTCTTCCCCCTAAAAAATAGGGGCTCGCATTTCCTCTCCCAACCGAAGGCCAAGGCTGGGCTGAACCGGAGAAAATTCGACCAGAGAGCATCAGGTCAGGGAAATTAGAGTCTGGAGGAAATGACACGGGATTGGGAGTCCGGGGGCCGGGACTGGAAGGAGAGAGATCTGGATGCTCAAAGGGGGATGCATTTAAGAAGTTAAAACCAAATGACAAACAGAGACCAAGAAAGGCGAGCCTGAGGGATCGAGAGGGAGAGACAATGCCCCGCCCCCCTCCCCAGTTGACCTTCGCATCCCTTGCCAGGCTCATCCCCCTACCCTAGGTCTGGGAAGCCCTTTAGACTAAGCTCAAGTCGGGAGAGGGAGGGAGGAGGGCCCCAAGCACGCTGCACGAGGCATATAGCGTCCAGGTGACCCCCTGGGCTCTGACCCTCTCTTCCTCTGAGATAGCCAAGACCTCTAGCAGGAGAGCAGCGTAAGAAAGAGAGTGGAGACGCGGAGCCGAGAATGAGACCCGGGGATGGGGGATGTGCCTCAAGTCCTCCCAACAGTTCTCAACGCTGAGCCCCCTCCCAGGCCTACCAAAGCGGAGAGGGGACCCCCAACCTCAGTTCCCCAACGGTGGAGACAGATAGGGAAGGCTTGGGGACGGAGGGGGAGGTCCACCCCCTCCCGCTCGGACTCCCCCTCCCCCTCCAGTCCCTTCTAACAGATCCGAGGCCAGGGCAGAGAGAAGGGGCCGAGATGTACAAGGACAGGGAGGGGAGGTCCACGCAGGAATGGGAGGGTGGGGGGCCGTGATCCCCGCGGGGACGGCTCGCAGGGCACGAGATCCGCAGGGTGATGGCCGGAGCCGAGGGTCCGGCCGGGATGTCGCCCAGGCCCTCCAAGGGAGGAGGACGAAGAGAAGGACACGAGGGCGGGGGGCTGGAAGGGGCCGGACCCCACGGGGGGGGGATCTCCAAGCGTCCTCTCCGCACTCACCAGCTGCTCCTCCAGCGCGGCCGCGGCCCGGCGCGCCGCCGCCTCGTCGTCGTCCTCCTCGCCATCATCGTCTCCCAGGGCCTCGTCCTCCTGGTCCCGGCCGTCGTCGGCCGCCCCGCCGGGCCCCGCGCCCGTAGCCAGAGGCTGGCCGAGCCGGAGCGCCTGGCGCACGCGGAACTCCTGGCGCTCCCGCAACCAGTGCAGCTCGCAGAGGCCGGCCAGGCTGCCCTCCAGCCAGCCCCGCAGCCGGCCCCGCTCCGGGCTCACGGGGAACGAGAAGGCCCGGATCATGGCCGCGTCGTCCCCTCCGCCGGGCCTCGGCCCCCGCTCCCGGCTTCCCTGGGGGCCCCCAGCGCCCTGCCGGCCTCGCGCCCGCCCGCCGGTCCGGCCCGGCTGTCACCGTCTCATCTGCATAGGCCGCATCCCATTGGGCCGCGGAGCCGAGGCTGATCTGCATCGCCCCGCCCCCTAGGCGCTACCAGAGGGCTTTCCATTGGTGACTAGCCACTGAGCCACGCCCCTCGGCTCCCCCAACAGCAGGGCCATTGGTGGGCCTCCGAGGTCTGAACGGTGAAGATCTGCATGGACCACGCCTCCCGTCCACCAGACCCCGCGGTCGGGGAACATCCGTGGGCCTAGGGGTTCGAAGCCCTAATTAGCGGCATAGCCACGCCCTCCACATCCCCCCCCCAACTGCCCTCGGGGGCTGCCGGCCATTGGTGAGATTTCCTACGTCTGCATATGCCCGCCTTCTCCTCCCTGCTAGGTCTCATTCTGCCCACCCCGCGCCATTCGACCCTCCCGGATTCGCCACGCCGCGCTGTCCTTCAACCGCGTAGTCCCATCCCCCGGCCTCCCTTTTCTTCCGGTGATTTGCTGCTCAAGGCCCCTCGCTTCACGGCACCCGCTGATTCGCCTATCTGCGGGAAGGGTGGGGCGGCTCCCTTGGACCCGCCCCATTGTGGGCGGGCATCAATAGAATGGCCTCTGAGAACATGAATATTATAATTAGAGAAACTTGGGCGGGGGTAAAAGGGAGGGCCGAGCGCCCTTTCTCTTCGCTCACCCAATCGGGTGACGGTTAGGGAAGGAGGGCTGATCGTTCTTTATCCTCCTCCTCCTCCTCCTCCTCCCCTTCCCAAATCCTCCAGTCTCTCAGCCCCCGGACCCACCCCATCCTGCTGGTGCTCCAAAACTCTACCTCCTCCAGGAAGGCTTCCGTGATTCCTCCAGAAGCATTCACAATCTGGCTCCAGACACGATCCTTTCCGGCTTGGGCCAGGCTCTGATTATGAACGGGATGGAGCCGGAAGGAGCCAAAAGACTGCAGCGCATGGTGGAGAGGGCTCAGGGACCGTGGGAGCATCCTCTGAAAGGACTGAGGATGTTTCCCAAAAGAAGATTTAGAAGGGACTTGAGGCATGGTCCCAGAGAGTGTAAGCTCCTCGAGGGCAGGGCCTGATTTGTCTTTGTATCTTCCAGGGTAGGGGATAGCGCCTAGGAACTCCTTGGGGGGGGAATCCTCCTCCCCACACACATCTGCGCCAAGCTCGGATGGAGCCCAGGGTCACACACCTAGCATGTGTCCAGTCAGAGGCTGGGCAGAAGGCTCCCCAAAGCCGGTTCTCTAGTCTAAGTACACACAGTAGGTGCTCCATGCTTGTCGATGTTTAGGGGGTCACTCGGAAGAGGGGTTAGTCAGGACAACAGCCCATAGCTGGCATTGATACAGTGCTCTTAAGATTTGCAAAGCACTTCATAAACATGTCATTTGATCTTCACAACACCCCTGGGAGGTAGGCGCTACTACTATCCCCATTTTACAGCTGAGGAAACTGAGTCAGGAAGCATCGAAGTGACTTGCCCCTGGTCACACAGCTAGTAAGTTTCCAAAACTGGATTTGAACTTGGGTCTTCCTGACTCCAGGGTCTAGGACTCTTTGTCCACTGGACTGAACTTTGTCTATTTAATTCCAGAGGGGAGGGACAAGGGAGAGTAGCTTAAAGCCGATTTTTGTCTCCAGGTCAGAAAAACCTTTCTGTCAAAGCTGCCTAAAAATAGAATGGATTGCCACCAGCGGCAATAGTGGTGGTCTTCAGGCTTGGCTGGAGGAGAATTGCCCAGAGGTCATATGGCTCTGGCCATAAAGGCTGTAAAGGGGACAAGAATCTGCCCTTGTCCTGGCTCTGACGTGGGCTGTGATGTGGACAAGCCATCTCTCTCGTCTAAGTCTGTCTCTTTATTTATGAAATGAGAGGACTGGACTCATTGGCCTCCAAAGTTCCATGCATCTGAGAAATTACATAGTCCAGGCAAACTGAATTGGTTTTTTGTTTGTTTTGTTTTGCTTTTTGGTACCTTCAGTCTGGTACAATGACAAGATCAGGCAGGAATCTCCTGTCCCATTCCTTCCCATCTGGACCTCCATATCTCTACCTAGATGGCCTTTTAAGGTCTGCTCCAGCTTCGACATTCCCTGTTCTAAGGCCCTTCCTACCTCTGACCTTCCCTGTTCTAAAGTACCTCCCCGCTCAGACCTTCCCTATTCTGAGGCCCCTCCAAGCTCTGACATTCCCAGTTCTAAGGGTCCTTCCTTCTAATGATCTTGGGAGGCTCGGGCGGAATTCAGAAACAGGGCCTGATCTTTCCAGGGTCCCTTCCTCCCACCTTAATAGGCTGAGAGCTCTCTCCAGCCACGTCTTTTTGAAAGGAGGGGTCTTGACTCCCCCTGGTGGTCCAGCTGCGTGGCTGCCGCACACTTCCCCTCTCCGCAGGACTTCATAGGACAGAGAGCAGGAACTGACCTTGGAAGTCCCACTCCCCATCCCCCAGGAGCCCTCGGCCCCCACATCCTGCCCCCATCACCTCTCACTATAGCATCCATCGGGAGCCCCAGTGTCCTTATGATGGGGGCAAAGGGAAGGCGGGGACAGTCAGACAGACCGTCGGACAAAGGTAGGGCTCAAAGACAAGGTCCCTTTACTGTTCCAGGGGAAGGTGCTCCAGGGAGAGGCGTGTAGGGGCGGGGTGGGAAGGGCACAGCCCAGGGCTGTTCCTGGTCATCTGTCACCGCGGCTTCGCTCCTCACTCCTCCAGGTGTAAGGGGAGGGGGTTGGGGGGTGAGGGGCAGGAGCTGGAATAGGCCAGTCAGGTTCATCAGAGACGCTTGGAGATCCTGGTTCCCCAGCAGCCTCAGAGGACACTGACCCGCTCGGCCAGGCCCTGCATCTCGTGGTCCTGAGGCGAGAAGGGCTGCGCGACGCCCCCCAGGCCCCCGACCCCGTCTCCGTCTCCGGACTCCCCGCCCCCTTCGGTCCCGCGCAGGTGTGCCGGGTAGGGCAGCGTGTGTTCGGCAGCGAACTGCGCCCAGCGGGCATCGTCGCTCTCGTGGGTGATGTGCCGCTCCCCCATCTTGCCCTCGAGCTCCCGCAGATCCAGCCAAGTCTGGTAGTCCTGGGAGGGGAGGAGTTAACCAGGAAGGGGACCACCCACAAGTCCCACCACCAATGGGGTCGGAAAGTTCCCGCCCTTGTCGCCCACTCCGCCAATGGCAGAGGGGTGCCCGTCTATTCCCCGCGGCTCACCTGCAGCCAGGGGTGGCTCAGCGACTTGTCTACGCTGTAGCGCTTTCGCATCTTCACCTGCAGCAGGTTGTTGATCAGGTCTATGGCTGTGGGTGTGGGGAAAGGACATGGGGGGGGGGCCGTCCAGCCACTTAAGGAGAGCCTCCCTGGATCAACCAAGCCCTCCTCCCCTCAATCATTCACGAATGCGTTCATCCCCATCCCCTTGGGCCTCCCGGCAGGTACCTAGTTGGCAACCCTAAAATGAACCTGCAATGCAACACTAGGTCTTGGTCATCTCTTTCTCTGTGACCGATCATTTCTGGTCTGGACCTGGGTTCATTTGAATGAGGAGATCTCCGCTACCTCTCTCTGCCTCTATACAGATGCACCTTCAAGTCTCAGAAGGTTTCCTGGGGGCTTTGTCTGAGGCAGGGTTTGAACCCAGGTTGGGTAGATTTCAAGACCTGCTCCCAAGGCACTTTCCTTTCCTTCTCATATCAGAACAATTAAGGAAAGAGGGGTGTTGAGCTTTGACACCACAGTTCTGCGTGGATTGAGTACCTCCTGCATGGGAGGTTCAGTGCTGACTGGACAGAGGCCACGAAGCCAGTTAGCATTAGGCCCCTGGCCTTCACCCATCAGCCTCAGCCTCTCCTCCTCCTCCTCCTGCCCCCTGGTCCCAGTGGGGGTACCTCCAGCGGAGATGTGGCTCCAGGGGCTGGCTGGGTACATGAAGGCCGCATTCTGGATCTGGTCGTTAATGTCCTCATCCTCATTAAAGGGGAAGGTGCCGCTGAGGCTGACGTACATGATCACACCCACAGACCACATGTCCAGTGAGCGGTTGTAGCCCTGATTGAGTAACACCTCCGGCGCCAGATACGCAGGGGTCCCCACCACTGAGCGGCGGAAAGACTTCTCCCCGATTATGCGGGCAAATCCAAAGTCGCAGAGTTTCACCTGTTGGCAGGGAAGGGGCCTTAAAAACCTAAGCCAGGCCCCCCATCTTACTACAGGCTCAGGAAGGGGAGCTAGGTGGCTGACAGCGTTCCAGGGTACCACCCCCACCCAACCTCCTTTTGTCAGCCTGCCCCCCACAACCTTCAGCATCGCTGTGTGGGAGGAACCTCCATGCGTCCTAAATCCCTCAGTAGAAGGGATGGTCCAGACTGGCACATCTGCCCCATCCAGACCTGCACCCTCAGCCCAGACCTCCAGAAACCATGCCTTCCTCTCTGGGGCAGCCATTCCAGCCATTCCCCCAGGCATAGGCCCCCATCTTTCTGGAGGATCAGTAATCCAATCAACACTTCCTTACTTCTGGAAAGGGCTCCACCCCCCCCATCCCTGGGATTTCCCAGACAAATAACCTCCCCTCCCTGGCCATCACCCCCCTAATATGTATTGTCTCCTCCCATTAGAATATAAGCTCCCAGAGGGCAGGGCTTATCTCACTCTTGTATGTGCACCTAGGACAGTGCTTAGTACACAGAAGGTACTTAATAAATGCCCTCTCATTAACTTATGTTCAGGAGGGCAAAGCTGAGGAAATGTTCCCCAAGAGCTAACCTGGGGGAAGGGATCCGCTGAGGCCAAAAGCACATTCTCTGGCTTCAGGTCACAGTGGACTATGTTCTTGAAGTGCAGGTGTCTCAGGGCCACCAAGATCTGAGGAGAGAAACGAAGCAACGACCTAGTGAAGAGACCCTACCTCCCAATTTCTCCTCTAATCTCCTGGCCTCTCCTTCTTCATTTCTATCACCTTGGCCTGGGGAAGAAGGAATGGACTGGGAAGAGGAGGAAGAGGATAGGATGGAGAGGGGAGAGGGATAAGCTGGAGGGGTGATAGGATAGAAAGGGGAGGGGAATAAGATGGAGAGGAGAGGGGGGCAGGATGGGAGGGAAGGGGGACAGGATGGAGAGGGAGGGGGAGCACAATGGAGAGGGAAGGGGGACAGGATGGAGAGGAGAGGGATAGGATGGAGAGGGGAGGGGGATAAGCTGGAGGGATGATAGGATAGAGCGGGGAGGGGAATAAGATGGAGAGCGGATAGAATGGAGAAGGGAGGGGGATAGGATGGAGAGGGAAGAGGGATAGGATGGAGAGGGGATAGGATAGAGAGGGGAGGGAATAAGATGGAGAGGAGAGGGGGACAGGATGGGAGGGGATGGGGACAGAATGGAGAGGGAAGGGGGACAGGATGGAGAGGGGAGGGGAGCAGAATGGAGATGGAAGGGGACAGGATGGAGAGGAGAGGGGACAGGATGGAGAGGGGAGGAGGGTAGGATGGAGAGGGGCGTGGCATAGGATGGAGGGGGGACAGAATGGACAGGGGATGGGGATAGGATGGAGAAGGGATAGAATGGGGAAGGGAGGGGGATGGGATGGAGAGGGGATAGAATGGAGAAGGGAGGGGATGGGATGGAGAGGGATAGAATGGAGAAGGGAGGGGGATAGGATGCAGAAGGGAGGAGGATAGGATGGAGAGGGATAGAATGGAGAAGGGAGGGGGATAGGATGGAGAGGGGATAGAATGGAGAAGGGAGGGGGATAGGATGGAGAGGGGAAGGGGGCAGGATGGAGAGGGAAGGGGACAAGATGAGAGGGGAAGGGGATAGGATGGAGAGGGAAGAGGGATAGGATGGAGAGGGGATAGGATAGAGAGGGGAGGGGAATAAGATGGAGAGGAGAGGGGGACAGGATGGAGAGAAGAGAGGGGACAGGATGGAGAGGGAAGGGGATAGGATGGAGAGGGGAAGGGAGCAGAATGGAGAGGGAAGGGGGACAGGATGGAAAGGAAGGGGAATAGGATGAGAGGGGAGGAGGATAAGCTGGAGGGGTGATAGGATAGAGAGGGAGGGGAATAAGAGAGGAGAGGGGGACAGGATGGGGAGGGGATGGGGACAGAATGGAGAGGGAAGGGGACAGGATGGAGAGGGAAGGGGACAAGATGAGAGGGGAAGGGGATAGGATGGAGAGGGAAGAGGGATAGGATGGAGAGGGGATAGGATAGAGAGGGAGGGGAATAAGATGGAGAGGAGAGGGGACAGGATGGAGAGAAGAGGGGGACAGGATGGAGAGGGGAAGGGGATAGGATGGAGAGGGGAAGGGGATAGGATGGAGAAGGGAGGGGAGCAGAATGGAGAGGGAAGGGGGACAAGATGAGAGGGGAGGGGGATAGGATGGAGAGGAGAGGGGGATAGGATGGAGAGGAGAGGGGGATAGGATGGAGAGGTGGTAGGAT